TGTTCCACGCCATAGCAACATGTAGAACTCCACTGACAGACAGGTGTGGTTGTGCATGAAGTGTACTAAGTGGGAATCAAACTCCAGTCGCCCACATAGGAGGCTAGAATTTTACCAGTGAACCACCATTGCCCCCTTTATGGTATAAGGGTCCCATGTTGATGTATGAAAAGGAAATTGGAAGTGACAAAGCCAGCCCATCATCTGCTCTAGTTTAATTTGATGGCTTTTAAAATCAGAGCATTTAAGTGACTATGACTTTAGTCAATCAAACTATAGTTTGATTGAAACAGCAGTGATACATGGATATTTTTTAAAAAGGGCAGTTGAATATTTATTTTAAAGTTTAAGATTAAAAAAAAACTCTCAAAAATATGTTCCAGCTTTTGGTTTTTACTTTAAAAAAATTCACATAAGACCATTTTAAAGCGCACACCTCAGTGGACTTTATTACATTTACAATACCAGGTAACCACTACTCTGTTGGTTGGCTTTTGAGTTTAAAGAATAAAACCTGAACAGAAACAGGAAGTTTTCATGTCATTCTGTAGACAAAAGGCTCCTGTAGCTGTGTCGATTTCAGGTGGATTATTACATAGTTTAGTAAACTCTGAAGCTCTTACGGATGTCCCAAAAGACTTTTCCTTGCTGAGTTGTAGAACACACAGTAATGGTGCTGAGCACATACTCTGGCAGAGAATGTAGCCATTCTTACCTAAGTGTTCCTAATAGGTCTAAGGTAAAACCCAGTAAAATTTTTTAGAAGGGAAGAAAAAGAAGAAGAAAAAGAAATATCCATGGAAAATCCTAAATCCTGATTTTGCCTGAGTTATCATTCAGTTGGGAAGTCCGGTGGAAAGTGTAGTCCCTGTGCCTAAGAACAAACCGTTGGATTCCTCACCTGCTTGATAAATCCAACAGATTGGGTGAATGTTTTTGTTTTTACAGTTGACCCTTGAACAACACAGAGATTAGAGGTGCAGACTCCCGGCATTATTCAAAATCTGCAGATAACTTTGACTCCCCCACAACTTAATGACTAATTGGTCTACTGTTGATCAGAAGCCTTAATATAAACATGCATACCTTGTATATTATGTTGTTATATATTGTATTTTTACAATAAAATAAACTAGAGGAAACAAAATGTTTTAAGAATCCTAAGGAAGAGAAGATATGTATATAGTAATGTATTTGTTGATCTCATAAATATACATGGTCTGCTTACAAGATGAATCGTCTTCATGATAAGTAGGCTGAAGGGAGGAAGAAAGGGGAGGGGTTGTTCCCTTCCATCTTCAAAGCCAGCAATGACTGCTTGAGTCCTTTTTTTTAAAGAGCAGCTTTACTGAGGCATAATCCATATAACATACAATTCACGTATTTAAAGTACACAGTGTTAGTATAGTCACAGCATTGTGTATCCTGCATCCATTCAATTATAGAACATTTTTATCACACCCAAAGGGTGCTTTGTACGCTCCTCATTTTCCCCATCCTTGCAGCCCCAGACAGTCACCATTTTATGTCTATCTTTATGGATCCCTGTTCTGGACAGTTCTCATCAGTGGAATCGTGCCGCACAACACATGGTCTTTGGCGACTGGCTTCTTTGACCTAGCACAGTGTTTTCGGGGTTCATTCATGTCATATGTACCATATATGAGCACTTCACTTCTTGTCATTGCTGAATATTATTCTATCTGGCTGTATCACTGTAATACTTGGATCTGATCTATAATCCATATTCTGATTTTGTCACCTGTCTCAATAATGCTACTTAAGCATTTTCATAATTGTCTTCCTAGTGTTGATTGTTGAATCCAAGTCCAAACTAGGTCTGCACATTAAATTGTGTCTTTAGATTTTTTTTATTCTTTAACAATAAGTCCTCTTCTTTTTTTCAATTCCTCTTTGCCATTTGTTTGTTGAAGAAAAAGAGAGGGTTTCAAATAGTTCATGGAGAAATTCCATTATCTTTTCATTCCATTTTCCCACAAACTTTTTGAAGTCCCTGGATTTTTCTGATTGTATTGTAGAAGCTCAGCCTGACTCATGTTCAGTTTCTGGACAAGACTGTTTCTTAGATGGTTCTGTGTACTGACTGTTGATTCATTTCAGCAGGAACGTACTGTTGGATCGTTTTTATTTGTGCGGTGAAGGCTTGATCAGTGAGTTTCGGGGTGCTCTACCGGGTCTATCACTCAGGAGCCTCCCCTTTGTAGAGGTACCTCCAGAGTTTCTCCTAGCCTTTGGCTGATGTTTTAGCAGACATTGGTGATCATTGCTTAAATCTCTTATTCTATTAGGAACTGAAAATAGTGATATTCTGGTTCTGTAATTCCTTCTACATTTATTAGTTGGGATTCCATAAAGAAGAAATTTTCACCGACTACTTGGGAATGAAGCTGAATTCACAGTTGTTTCTTGAGGCTCTCTCCCAGAATTGAAGTTCCCTAGGCAAAGGGTTTCTATTCTTACACGCTTTTAAAAAATAATGATGGCCAAACTACTCTTAAAGATGTGAAACCAGTGTACACCTCTACCATTGGGATATGAGTGAAATGCTGCTAGCTACGATGGAGTAAGACCCGAGAGGACCAACGTAGTAATGTCTTTGTCAATCAAACTGTCAGTCTTGATTTTTTTCTATTAGAGAGTGATCATGAACCAACTTGTACTGGGATAAATGCAGTGTGACTTTGGAAATACTTTCTTGTGTGTTCTAAGTTATCTGCATTGAGGATTGCTTTTTAAAAACCTTTCACTTTGTAATATTTCACTGTGGATTTTAACCATGTTTCAAAATATAACCACCATCTTAGCTTAAACAGTAATAAAGATTTAATTTTCCCCCTTTCACAGGGACCTTTCTCGGGGCAAGCCCCTGGAGGCAGAGATGGCAGGGATCGAGTACATGAACGACGACCCGGCGATGGTGGATGTTCTTTATGCCAAAGTCCACATGAAAGACGGCTCCAACAGGTAGCTTTCGGGATGGCTTCTTTTTCTTCTTTTTAAATAATTTTATTGGGGCT